TACATTCGAATGTTCTGAGAATTTTTGTATACATTTTTGTTTCAAAGTTCTGCCAGTATATACCCAGCTTTAGTAAGCTGCAATATATTACTTTTTGATGATTTGATGTGCTGTAACAGTGCCCTGATTGTTTTAACCCTTTTCATATAGTTACCTTAAAACTTTTACTAACTACTCAATTTATCTGAGCATAAGTACGTATACCACAGTGGGCTAATATCAAGGTGGATCTACTCACTGCTCAGCAGGTCTACTACTCAGGACTCTGCTTTTTCTTTATTTCTCCTTTGTTTCTGGCTGCTCCTTCGGAAAGTTATATTTGGAACAGGAAAAACATAGCTATGGGAAGTCTCGGTTCACAATTGGGCCCTTGAAGGCAATGACAATACCTGGATAAGTGACATTGAAGTGATGGGAATGCATGGTTTACTCATTCCATTAGCATTTTTATGGATTCTTTTTATATGTACTTAAAGTATAATTGAAAGCAAAACTTTTTATAGTTTTGGATAGATTGGAGAGGGATTAGAACATCTCTCAGATTTTTATTGCTGTCTGTGTCCCCATTAGGTAGATTCACCCTCTCTATTTGTCCTGTTTACTGTTATTACTGAGAATGTAAGAAAAATCCCACATTTTGGGTTGTCACCAGAACAGGAATAGAGGGGGAATCTTCCAATGGGGATACTAGTTCTGGTGACCCTGGTGACAACCAGTGATTCCCACTTGGATAGATTTCTGCTCACTTCTTGTGTTTGTTATGGGAGAGGAAGTGAAGGGAAATATCCCCAATACGTCAGATTGCAAAAAATGGACAGGAGTAAAAACCCTCCCTTACTCTATGCAAAATGAAAAACAGTTATTATTTTTATTATTATTATTATTATTATTATACAGCAGTGGTCTCCAAACTGTGGCCCTGGGGCCAAATGCTGCCCTTTACTTGATTTTTTCTGGCCTTGGGGCACTATTTCATCCAATGATACCAACAATGGGGCATAATTACCCCCACTGACACCAATGATGGGGCAAAATTCCTCCCAATGACACCAAGGATGGGACACAATTTTTCCAAATGACACCAACAATGCGGCCATATGACACCAATGATGGGGTACAATTAATCCCAATGACACCAACGATGAGGCACAAATCATCCCAATGACACCAAAGATGGTGTCAATGGTTTTTTTCCCCACTGACATTAGGGCCTTTTTTACTCCCAATGGCTACAGCCCGGCCCCCCGAAAGTCTGAAGGACATTAAACTGGCCCTTTGTTTAGAAAGTTTGCAGACCCCTGTTATACAGGATTTATATAGTACCAACAGTTTATGCAGCACTTACAAGTTTTGCCTCAGTAACGCTTGCCCGCTGCCCTATAGCGGCAGGGCTGTGCAAAATTATATATATATATATGTGTGATATTGTATTTATGGGTTGGGGGCGCTCTTATGCCCTTCCCGCACCGCCATTGGTGGCATGAGCTACCGATCACCAGCCAGAGATTCCCTGCCAGCACCCGGAGATCGCTGAGGAACAATAACAGGAGAGAGGTCTGTATGTAAACAATACAGATCTCTCCTCTGTCAGCTCCAGCATGCTGCTTTGTATTGCTCTGCATAGCAGAGCAATACCAAGTAGCATGCTTACACTGTAAAACACACACACAGCACTTTTTATTTTTATTAGTGATAAATGACAGACTCCTGACTGGCTTCTATGTACAGCTTCTGTAGGTAGCAGGGGTTTGGAGCCCGGATGGTGCGGACATTAGTAGGACCTCCCTCATGTTGTGATTGCTTCCTCTCATTTCCTCTCTTGAGGGCCTCCTTGGAAAGGAAGGGAAGAAAAATTTCCCATATGGGTACACAAGTGTACAATCCAAACGCACACTTTCCTGCATTAAAAATGGTTGTATAAGTGGGTGCTGCAGCGACTGTCTGCTGGAACCGAACAGAATCAGCAAAGGAGAATGTCACAAACACACCGAGGATCACTAATATGGGTCCAAACGTAATGAACGAGCATAGTTACAGCAAGGCAAAGTTTCGGAGTCTTGCAGGACCCCTTCATCAGGCATCTGACCACAAGGGGACAAAAAAGCACATTGAACCCTTACAGAGTTTCTTACCCCTTACCTACACTATCAAAAATAATGTATCTATTGATCTCTATTTTCATTGGAGAAAAATTCAATGGCAGGGGCTGTAATCTTCCTTGTGGGGCTGCTTTATAAACCTGTATCAAGAGAAACAAAGGGGGTGATATTGCTGATTCCTTCTGAAATTACTAAGTGCCTGGTTGTCACTGGCCTCAATACCTTCTAAGTCACTTACCTGGAGTCAGCATGCAGATTTTGAAGTCAGAACGCCCGATCAGCCTGTTTGTTTCAGTCAGTGAAGCTGTTAGATCAGTATGACAGCCAGGCATCTAGAATTTTCAAAATGACAACTCAGCACTGGCAGCCTTCAAGTTTCCTTTATAAGGTGTTTTTTTCTAAAAGACACATTAAAAAGTCGATAAAATGAAAGGTTCGGTGACAGCTCACTGCTCTGGTTTCAGCCAGTACATTTATACAAATATATTTTTGCTGGGTAAAGCAGAAAAAGATGCCAAGCTCAGAAAAATGTTCTGGAGCTCTGAGAATGGAGTAGGTAGGAAACATGTTATACTGATGTCATCGCCAGCTCATCATCAGAGAAAAAAAATACAACTACAATCTATTCCACCAAATCCTACACAGAACATCAACGAAATGGTGAGGGAGTTGGAAAGTGGTTGGAAGCTTTCTGTGTAGTGCTATTCTACAATGCTGGTTGCATATAGTTTGTAAAGGTGGAAGGCACTTCTGCAGTTGTAAATCTCAACATGAATCTTGTCCCCCCCCCCCCAAGTGAGACAGTATAAAAATATAAGAAGGGTTAAAGGAATCCAGAAAACCCTCCAACCAATTTATAGCACAGTAAAGTCTTCTTAGAACAGATGTTGGCAGCACAGTGGCTAAATGGTTAGCACTTCTGCCTGGCAGTACTAGGGTTGTTGGTTTGAATCGCAACCATGGCAACACCTGCCTGGAGTTTGCATGTTCTCCCTGTGCCTGCATGGGTTTCATCCCACACTCCAAAGATGTGCTGGTAGGTTAATTGGATCCTGTCTAAATTGGCACTAGTATGTATATGTATGAATGTGAGTTAGGGACCTTAGATTGTACGCTCCTTGAGAGTTAGGGACTGATGTAAATGTACTATATATACAGTGAAGGAAATAAGTATTTGATCCCCTGCTGATTTTGAAGGTTTGCCTACTCACAAAGAAATGATTAGTCTAAAAATCGAATGGTAGGTGTATTGTAACACTGAGAGACGGAATAGCAACAAAAAATTCAAAAGAAATCTCATTTTGTTACCTGTATAAAAGACACCTGTCCACAGGAGCAATCAAACAATGAGATTCCAAACTATCCACCATGGCAAAGACCAAAGAACTGTCCAAGGATGTCAGGGACATGATTGTAGACCTACACAAGGCTGGACTGGGCTACCAAACTATTGCCAAGCAGCTTGGTGAGAAGGTGACAACAGTTGGTGCAATCATTCACAAATGGAAGAAACACAAAACAACTGTCAGTCTCCCTAGGTCTGGTGCACCATGCAAGATCTCGCCTCATGTCAGTGATCATGAACAGTGAGGAATCATCCCAGAACTACACGTGAGGATCTTGTCAATGATCTCCAGGCTGAGGAAAGAACAAAGAAGGTATATTTGGATTCCCCCGGTCTGTTGAGGGCAGCAAGGTGTGCATGTTCCAGGACATTCTTAATGTGGTTGCAGCCTGCATCGAGTCCATCCCCAAGCACAGGAGCATTTGTGTTTGCTGGTTCAATGATCTCCAGGCAGCTGGGACCACAGTCACCAAGAAAACAATTGGTAACACACTACACCGACAAGGATTGAAATCCTGCAGTGCCCACAAGGTCCCTCTGCTTAAGAAAGCACATGTCCAGGCCCGTCTGAAGTTTGTCACTGAACATCTGAATGATGCAGAGGAGGATTGGTTGAAAGTGTTGTGGTCAGATGAGATCAAAATCGAGCTCTTTGGCATCAACTCAACTGTGTTTGGAGGAGGAATGCTGCCTATGACCCCAAGCACACCATCCCAACTGTTAAACATGGTGGTGGAAGCATTCTGCTTTGGGGGTGTTTTTCTGCTAAGGGGATAGGACAACTGCATCAAAGGGACGATGGACGGTGCAAAGTACCATCAAATCTTGGGTGAGAACCTTCTTCCCTCAGCCAGGGCATTGAAAATGGGTCGTAGGTGGGTGTTCCAGCATGACAATGACCCAAAACACATGGCCAAGGCAACAAATGGGTGGCTCAAAAAGAAGCACATTAAGGTCCTAGAGTGGCCTAGCCAGTCTCCAGACCTTAATCTGATTGAAAATCTGTGGAGGGAGCTGAAAGTTTGAGTTGCCAAACGTCAGCCACCAAACCCTAATGACTTGGAGAGGATCTGCCAAGAGGAGTGAGCCAAAATCCCTACTGAGATGTGTGCAAACCTGGTGACCAACCACAGGAAATGTCTGACCTCTGATTGCCAACAAGGGATTTGCCACCAAGTACTAAAGCTGGCCATACATTATACAATTTTCTTGAGATTTGTGGTTTAGATTTACCAAAAAAACCATGTAATAGAATGTCAAAACTAAACAACACTTTCAATTGTATTCAATTAGGTAGGCTCCTGCACTACATAGTTGAAGGTAAATCTAAAGGAAATTGGGCAGAAATTAGACAGAAAATTGTATAGTGTATGGCCAGCCTAAGTCATGTTTTTTGAAGGGGATCAAATACCGTATTTTTTTCGCTCCATAAGACGCACTTTTTTCCCCCCAAAAGAGGGGGGAAAATGTCAGTGCATCTTATGGAGCGAATATGGAGCGGCCGGTCCAGTATTTCCACCGCCGCCGTGTCAGAATACAGGGCCGGCCGCTCAGCCCTGCAGCGGGACCTTACCTGTTCCTCTATGCCGCGCTGTCTTCCTGGCTTCTGTAGTGTGGGCGCTCGGCTTTGACAGCCGGTCAACAGTCATCTCCTGTACTGTCCACAGTCTCTGGTCATCTCCTGTGCTGTCCGCAGTCTCTGGTCATCTCTTGTACTATGTCCACAGTCTCTGGTCATCTCCTGTACTGTGTCCGCAGTCTCTGGTCATCTCCTGTACTGTGTCCGCAGTCTCTGCTCATCTCCTGTACTATGTTCACAGTCTCTGGTCATCTCCTGTACTATGTCCGCAGTCTCTGGTCATCTCCTGTACTGTGTCCGCAGTCTCTGGTCATCTCCTGTACTGTCTGCAGTCTCTGGTCATCTCCTGTACTGTGTCCGCAGTCTCTGGTCATCTCCTGTACTGTGTCCGCAGATTCTGGTCATCTCCTGTACTGTGTCTGCAGTCTCTGGTCATCTCCTGTACTGTGTCCGCAGTCTCTGGTCATCTCCTGTACTGTGTCCGCAGTCTCTGCTCATCTCCTGTACTGTGTCCGCAGTCTCTGGTCATCTTCTGTACTATGTCCGCAGTCTCTGGTCATCTCCTGTACTATGTCTGCAGTCTCTGGTCATCTCCTGTACTGTGTCCGCAGTCTCTGGTCATCTCCTGTACTGTGTTCGCAGTCCCTGGTCATCTCCTGTACTATGTCTGCAGTCTCTGGTCATCTCCTGTACTGTGTCCGCAGTCTCTGGTCATCTTCTGTACTATGTCTGCAGTCTCTGGTCATCTCTTGTACTATGTCTGCAGTCCATTGGTTTAGAATATTTTTTTTCCTGTTTTCTGCCTCTAAAATCTAGGTGCGTCTTATGGTCAGGTGCATCTTATGGAGCAAAAAATACGGTACTCATTTCCCTCATGAACATGCAAATCAGTGCATAATTTGTTAGACATGCATTTACTTTGAATTTTGTGTTGCTATTCTGTCTCTCAGTGTTACAATACACCTATCATTCGATTTTTAGATGGATCATTTCTTTGTGAGTGGGCAAACCTTCAAAATCAGCAGGGGATCAAATACTTATTTCCTTCATTGTATATGTAAAGTGCTGCATAAATTGACAGCGCTATATAAGTACCTGTAATAATAAATAAGTGTCTCATTCCATCCCATCATTTATTTCCAGATAATGATCTTGCCCCTCTTTCCCCTGAGATCTCCTGAGATCACATAGTTTAGTAATGAGATCTCTCTGGAGGGCAATGGTGATGTAGCCCTCCCAGGGGGCACTTGTAAGACCAGGGCTGTGTCACCAGTGCCTCACTATACCAGGAATTGGAAATCAATTCAGTGATAGTAAACAAATAAAGCGTTGTTTTTTTTTATGTAACATATGGATATTTATAGATTGGTGTGCATAGCTTCATGCTCCTGGGCTTTAATGTGGTTATAAGCCCTTATGTCCCTTTCGCACGGGCAGATAGATCGGGTCCACCTATCAGTTTTTCTGATGGATCCAACTGGACCCTCCATTCTCATCTATGGAGTGGTGGGCGTAAACAGACATGGGTCTATTTACACCCACCTTCATCCAATCCGTTCTGATCCGCTAATAACAGGCAGATGGGGATCAATTCCCCTCTCTGTCTAGCGGATCGGATGGCAGTCGGGTGTAAATGGACAGGTGGTGCTCTGCATAAACAAAGCAGACATGGACCAGCTATCCGCCTCCCCAGTGGTGATCAGTGAATAGATTCCCCTCTGAGCAAGCGGACTCCTGGCAGAGTCTGCCCAACATTGAAGAGACCTTACATATTACCACTGATTTGATTGGCCTCTGGTGGTACACAGAGATGAGACGAATCGTCCTACATAAGTTGTACCTGTTTATCTGTAGTATTCTCTTCTCTACATTTGTTCAAAGTCCAGAATTTATAAAGCTTGTCCCAAAATTCAGAAAGAAGGGGCAGATAATTCTGAGAGCTGATTGGAAGGAAGAGGCACACTCCCCTCCTCACAGCTCACAGGAACAGAGCTATGTCTGTCAAACTGCTAGAGCTCCTTCCCCGTCACCATTTTTCTCTTGGTGTCAGAAAAACGTGTCAGAGATAATATACGCATATAGAGGAATGAAGCAGCAAAGAGAAATGACACTTGGTGCTCTTAACTGAGACAAGTACACACTATAGGGGAATAATATATGCTTTGTTCATATGTCATATCTGAGGTTTACAACCACTATAAGTTTGATGAGGGAGGTCCACTTTAAAGTGGAACTACATGTAAGTCTAGGTTCACACCTAAGCATTTTTGCGGTGCATTTTGCATAACCGCACTACAGTCCATTTAACATGATTTCCTATGGGACACGTTCACATCTCGCCTTTTCACCCAGAGCGTTTTTTGGAAAGGGTCAGGGACTTTTTTAAACACAAAATATTGTGTTTTTTGGTTCAATAGACTTCAATGGAGATGAACTGAACTGTCACCTGATCGCTTCAACTGACCCCCCAGGAGTGTGCCCCCCCTTTGACCCATCCTCCTGTCTTGCTTCACTTGGGATAATGTTTGATGGTGGTACTGTCCACTGAACATGGCAATTTTTTAATTTATTAAATTTTTTTAAATATTACTGTTAGAATCATTTTAAATGGAAAACATAAATAAAAAAGTAAAGCAAAAAATAGAACAAAATGTATTTAACCACTTAAAGTGATACTAAAGACTTTCTTTTTTTAAATAACAAACATGTCGTACTTACCTGCTCTGTGTAGTGGTTTTGCATAGAGCAGCCTGGATCCTCCTCTTTTCGAGGAGGTCCCTCCCTCCTGTTGGGTGCACCCATAGCAAGCAAGCTATAGGGCACCCGAGCAGGCGTGCTCCTGAGCTGCCACTCTGCGTGTCCATTCACACACAGAGCTGTGACCTGGCCCCACCCCTTCTTCTTCTGATTGGCTCACTAATTGTGATTGACAGCAGCAGGAGCCAATGGCTCCTGCTGCTGCTACATCCGATCAGGTGTGAGAGTCCCTGGAGAACTAAGGTTCTCATGGACATCTCTGGAATGAGGCTCAGGTGTTAGCGGGGCTGGGGAGACTGCTACATGCAGAAGGTTTTATACCTTCATCCATAGAATACCTGAAGTTAAAAAACCTTGAGCCTTTAGAACTCCATTAAGCCCTGGAAATTTGTACCCTCTTCATCACCAGTCCATTTTTTGCTATTCGGCACTGTGCTATTTTAATTGGTAATTGTGCGGTCATGCAATGCTGCACCCAAATTAAATTTATATCATTTTTTTCACACAAATAGAGCTTTCGTTTGGTGGTATTTAAAAAAAAAAAAAAAACAAAAAAACAATATTCAAAGCATATCCAATAAAAATTTTTAAAAAATCTAATTTCTTCATAAATTTAGGTCAAAATGTATTCTGATACATGTCTTTTTATTGATTTATTTTTATATACTAGTAATGGCGGTGATCAGTGGGACTGTGATAGTGTGGTGGCCAATCTGGCACTCACTGATGCTGGGTAGGACCTAACTAAATGACACTGACATTTCCATGGACACTAACACAGTGATCAGTGCTAATATTATACACTGTCACTGTAATAATGACACTGGCTGGAAGGAGTTAACATCCATGGCCAATCAAAGGGTATAACATGTGTAATGTGTACTGCTTTTACTAAGGAATGTGACTGTTTTATCTCCTGGCAAACAAAACAGCCACATTGCTGCACTCTGTAGAGTGCCCTGTGTTGTTTACCAACACAGGGCTCTCTTCTGTCATATGCTCAGCCAATCAGTGGGTCCCGGCTACAAATTGGCTTGTGGTGTAGCGAATGACAGCACAGGTGAGGTAGCTGGTGCACGTGTGCGCCCTACCTGGAAAAGGCGAGTAACTTACATGTACAGTTAGGTCCATATATATTTGGACACAGGCACAATTTTAGTTTTTTCAGGTATTTACCAAAACATATTCAAGCTATAGTTATATAATGGATATGGGCTGAAAGTGCACACTCTCGGGTTTAATTTGAGGATATGTACATCCAGATTGGATGAAGGGTTTAGGAATTACAGCTCTTAAGAGAAGCCATCCCCCTTTTTCAAGAGACCAAAAGTAATTGGACCTATTGAATCAAAAGCTGTTTCATGGCCAGGTGTGGGCTACTCCTTCGTTATTTCTTCATCAATTAAGCAGGTAAAAGGTCTGGAGTTGATTCTAAGTGTGGTATTTGCATTTGGAATCTATTGCTGTGTACCTACATCATGTGTCCAAAGGAGTTGTCCATGCAAGTGAAACAGGCCATTGTAAGGCTTCAAAAATGAACCAAATCCATCAGAGAGATAGCAGCAATATTAGGAATGGCTAAATCAACAGTTTGGTACATTCTGAGGAAAGAAGAATGCACTGGTGAGCTCAGCAACATAAAAAGGCATGAATGTCCACAGAAGACAACAGTGGTGGATGATCGCAGGATCCTCTCTATGGTAAAGAAAACCCATTCACAACATCCAGACAAGTGAAGGACACTCTCCAGGAGGTGGGCGTATCATTGTCAAAGTCTACAATCAAGAGAAGACTTCACGAGAGCAAATACAGAGGGTTCACCACAAGGTGAAAACCATTCATAAGCCTGAAGAATAGAAAAGCCAGATTAGACTTTGCCAAAAAAAATCTAAAAAAGCCAGACCAGTTCTGGAAAAGCATTCTTTGGAAGGATGAAACTAAGATTAATCTGTACTAGAATGATGGGAAGAAAAATGTGTGGAGAAGACTTGGAACAGCTCATGATCCAAAGCACACAACATCATCTGTAAAACATGGTGGAGGCAGTGTGATGGCATGGGTATGCATGGCTTTCAGTGGCACTGGGTCATTGGTGTTTATTGATGATGTGACAGAAGACAGAAGCAGCCGAATTAATTCTGCAATGTTTAGAGATATACCGTCAGCCCAGATTCAGCCAAATGCAGCAAAGTTGATTGGACGGCGCTTCACAGTACAGATGGACAATGATCCAAAACACACTGCAAAAGCAACCCAGGAGCTTTTGAAGTAAAATAAGTGGAATATTCTACAATGGCCGAGTCAATCACCTGATTTCATCCCAATTGAGCATGCATTTCACTTGCAGTAGGCAAAACTAAACACAGAAAGACCCACAAACAAAGAACAACTGATGACAGCTACAGTTAGAGCCTGGCAAAGCATCAGAAAGGAGGAAACCCAGTCTTTGGTAATGTCCATGGGTTCCAGACTTCAGGCAGTCATTGCGAGTAAAGGATTCTCAACAAAATAATACAAATGAACATTTTATAATTATATTCAACTGTCCAATTACTTTTGGTCCCTTGAAAAAGGGGGGATGGCTGCTTGTAAGAGCTGGAATTCCTAAACCCTTCCTCCAATTTGGATGTACATACTGTCACAATCATGCACACAGGGAGAGGTGCGGTTCTCCATTTTTCTCCAAACTTCTGCATTTTGGTATTTCTTTTAAACTCCTATGCTATCACTTGAGGGGGGGGGGGGGGGGTGGTTGCAGCTGTGAACACTAGAGCCAGGCACGGCTCTCACTGTGTTAAGTCTTAATGTTATCCCCTCATTCCCCCTCCCTCAGGAATGCAATCAGTGTATGATGCTGAGCCCCTGCCTAACAGTCCTCTGCCCAAACAAGGCTTGGCTTGTCTGTTGTAGTGAGATACCAGTTGATTTTGGATAG